ACTAGTGCAGGAACAGACTAGTTGTACACAGTCACTAGACCTACAAGTTCATTATATTAAACTAGTTTGTCTCATTCACTACAATGAGTGGTAAAGGCTCGATCCTTCGTCCTCTCAGCTCGAGAGGCATGCTATTTTTGCAGCCAGGCTGTGCAATTACATGATTATACATTTATGTGAAGCGCTAAGCCCGTCTGGGTACTTCAATTCAAGGAATGGAGGAAACTATCTTTCGTTTCACAGGCAGAGGACCTATACAAATTATTTTTAATAGTTAATAATGCATTTCACACAAATTACTGGGTCACTAAAAATTTGGTCGTGTGTATTGATAATACCTCCCCTCATCGAGGTATTGTTTATGTAGGTGCCATTTTTTGAACTCAAAAAATGGCAACACTTGGGCGACTGACACTAACAACTATTAAAAGATCGATATCCTAGATGAATAATATAGAAAAGGGGATGAGAAAGTGAGGACGAGGTGGGATTGAGGGGAAGTGAAAGTTGGTCAACAAGTGAATGGAGGAATGCGTCCATACCTGATAGAGACGTTCGTCGCCCCAGTGTGGGTTGAGGACAGCCAGTTGCAGCGCGATGCGGTTGTGTTCCCTCATCATGAGGGTGTGGGCACACGTCAGAATCAACTGCTCGTTAACTCGGATTTCTCCTGCAAGATAACCAACACCAGCCATCACAACACTGACTACACCAGTTCTTGCTACAACACTTAGTAGTTAATACCACTGACATTAAAATTTACAGCTGTTGCCACTAATACAACCACTGGCATCAACCACCAACACTTGAAAAATCACTGGTATCAACCACTACTACTCACACCATCACTCAGTAACATTGGTACCAATTACCCAGACTATCAACTACCACTGGTATCAGCTAACTCACCACTAACAATATATCTAGTGTCAATCGCCACCTACAACAATTAGCTCCACTTAGCAGTAACCACACACATGCACACAATTCCCAAATCCATGATGTCATACCAGAAATGTGGCAATACCAGTCTCATATGCAAACATTATTTGATTAGTAATACTTACTGAGCATTCAATATAAACAAGTGCAAAATATCTACATAACCAAGGGCTTTCTATAATCCCAATAAGGTCAACTATTCCTGAATTAATTGTAAGTTGCACTTTATCATTTTATCAAAAAGCCAGGTCTTTTATTATACAAGAAAAAAAATACTGTTTAAGTATCACAAGAAAGCGTCTACCGATAACAATATAACACCTTGTCACTCATCAGATAATATAACACCTTATCACTCATCAGATAACAATATAACACCTTATCACTCATCAGATAATAATATAACACCTTATCACTCATCAGATAACAATATAACACCTTATCACTCATCAGATAACAATATAACACCTTATCACTCATCAGATAATATAACACCTTATCACTCATCAGATAACAATATAACACCTTATCACTCATCAGATAACCACTTCAGTGTTACTATACATATAAAACTGGGATCACTTTCACAGTATTAGTATACGAAGTAAAGCTCAGACTTCTTAAGCTGAGTTTGTGTGTGGAATCTGAACTTCTGTCTGGGCTCACTTCTTTCCTATTCTTTACAAAAGTTTCCTGATTTGAGATTCGTCATTTACCAGGGTTGTTTCCTCCTGGGGTACATGAGCTTTCAGGTCAACAAGACCCAGCTGGTCTCCTAGTAAGCCAATAAAGGTATAACTCAAGTCCCTTTCGTGTTTATCACCTAGATCACTACTATCTCCTTCAGGTATCACATAACCCCAGCTGCCACTCATTTATCTTTGACACGCAAAGCCTGGGGACTGACCATAATATTACATTATTAATTGTTCTTCTCCCAGTGTATCATATTACAGATGGTGCAATACACCCACACCACTACGGGGATCAACAAACACTATTAACATCAGAGCCTAGCAGCGTCACTACCCACCTGCAAGGAAGCACCTCTGAGAGCCAGCGCTGCGGATACAGCCTTCGTCAGGGATGTCTGTTTTAAGAGGAAGGAGAGCCTTCAGAGGCAGGCCTGGGAAAGCTTCGTGATGTCGCAGAAGACCTCCTCTACCAGAACGCAACTCTCTGTCAACATAAGTTAAATAATTTAATTAACTTTTTTTTTTTTTTTTTACACCGTCGAATTCACACGGTAATACATGTTAAACTACCACAGCTCATTTCAAAGCTCAGCCCTGTTTAACAAATACTGCAACTCTCCATGATACCCCCTACAACAGTCGGCCAACACCGTGATATCTACTGTGAACAAGGGCAACAGGTGTAAGAATACTTGCTCATATGTCTGGACCAGCCTAAGATTGAACCCGGCACAGATATGTATTAAAATTAATAACATTACTTCCACTGTACATACTGATCTATTTGTCATTACTATTTACTCTTAAGCTTGTAGAAAGTACTATAGACAATTCAATTTTTTCTTGACTCCACATCCTAATTACTTGTTCTAAATAGCCAGAAATTTGAATATAACATGTGTTTGAAGCCAGTCACATATGCAAAATTACTGAAAAAATAATTAGACAAATTTTTGTGGATTGCCTTTAACATAGGCCTCCGGAAGCATAAAAAAATCTATGACTTGGCTAAAGCAACATTAAATAAAAAGAAAGTTAAATTTAATTTTGGTTTCTCGAACATCTTACTTTTTTTTAGAAAGGAACTAGCAAGCGAGATTGAAGAGTATAAATGGACAAAAGATCTGTTAATTTGCCATAATGGGAAATATTATGCAAAAAAAAGTTAGTGGGGAAAGTAATAGGTTCAGCAGACTACAAGACGTTGTCTGCTAGACTAAGACTGGACTATAAGTATCAATGACAGTACAGTTTGTATGGCGATGGCATGACAAAATGGACAAAGACTGAACCATACACTGGAACTTTTTATCTTAAGTATCTAGGCATCCATCTACTAAATCTGTCCAAATAAACACTACAGGAAATGGCAAATCACTTCATTGTTATTGATATATCTAAAATCTTGGTATTGTATCTACACTTTGCACCAGTTAGATGAATGAACTGTTATTTGATGAGATTGTAACCTAGCAAATGACCAGTGCTTGCAGTGCTAACATATCTTTCTGATAACGTAAATTAGTTGTGCAAGTAAATTGTAATATATAAATTGATTAATATCTTTAAAGATGTAATTACGCCCAATGGGATCTACAAAAGACCCATTATGACCTCTGTAATTCTGTGTGTGTGTGTGTGTATGAGTATGTGTGTGTGTGTGCATGAGTATATGTGTACGCGCGCGCTCGTGTGTGTGTGTGTGTGTGTGTGTGTGTGTGTGTGTGTGTGTGTGTGTGTGTGTGTGTGTGTGTGTGTATGAGTATGTGTGTGTGTGTATGTGTGTGTATGAGTATGTGTGTGTATGTGTATGTATGGTGTGTATGAGTATGTGTGTGTGTGTGCATGAGTATATGTGTACGCGCGCGCGCGGTGTGTGTGTGTGTGTGTGTGTGTGTGTGTGTGTGTGTGTGTGTGTGTGTGTGTGTGTGTGTGTGTGTGTGTGTGTGTATGAGTATGTGTGTGTGTGTATGTGTGTGTATGAGTATGTGTGTGTATGTGTATGTATGTGTGTGTATGAGTATGTGTGTATGTGTGTGCATGAGTATATGTGTACGCGCGCGCGCGCGTGTGTGTGTGTGTGTGTGTGTGTGTGTGTGTGTGTGTGTGTGTGTGTGTGTGTGTGTACTCACCTAGTTGTACTCACCTAGTTGAGGTGGCAGGGGTCGAGTCCAAGCTCCTGGCCCCGCCTCTTCACTGATCGCTACTAGGTCACTCTCCCTGAACCATGAGCTTTATCGTACCTCTGCTTAAAGCTATGTATGGATCCTGACTCCACTACATCGCTTCCCAAACTATTCCACTTACTGACTACTCTGTGGCTGAAGAAATACTTCCTAACATCCCTGTGAGTCATCTGTGTCTTCAGCTTCTAACTGTGTCCCCGTGTTACTGTGTCCAGTCTCTGGAACATCCTGTCTTTGTCCACCTTGTCAATTCCTCTCAGTATTTTGTATGTCGTTATCATGTCCCCCCTATCTCTCCTGTCCTCCAGTGTCGTCAGGTTGATTTCCTCTCCTCGTAGGACATACCTCTTAGCTCTGGGACTAGTCTTGTTGCAAACCTTTGCACTTTCTCTAGTTTCTTTACGTGCTTGGCTAGGTATGGGTTCCAAACTGGTGCCGCATACTCCAATATGGGCCTAACGTACACGGTGTACAGGGTCCTGAATGATTCCTTATTAAGATGTCGGAATGCTGTTCTGAGGTTTGCTAGGCGCCCATATGCTGCAGCAGTTATTTGGTTGATGTGCGCTTCAGGAGATGTGCCTGGTGTTATACTCACCCCAAGATCTTTTTCCTTGAGTGATGTTTGTAGTCTCTGGCCCCCTAGACTGTACTCCGTCTGCGGTCTTCTTTGCCCTTCCCCAATCTTCATGACTTTGCACTTGGTGGGATTGAACTCCAGGAGCCAATTGCTGGACCAGGTCTGCAGCCTGTCCTGTGTGTATGTATGTGTGTGTGTGTATGTGTGTGTATGAGTATGTGTGTGTATGTGGGTGTATGTGTATGAGTATGTGTGTGTATGTGTGTATGTGTATGTGTCTGTGCGGTCGCGCGCGAGACTGCTCACAGGACACATGGACACAAGTCGCTCAGGCGTCACTCACTTGGCTGCGAAGGAGCTACTACTGAGTTAGATCCTTAAATGTTAAAATTAAATACAGTAGAGGAATTCAAGTGACTCTCGTAGTACTTGTAAAGTTTGTTTTAGCAAAATACAATATAATAAACAATTCATTTATAGTTTTGTATTATTTGACCTTAAAATACCAATAAATGTCTCATTTTTGTTGAAAGCAGAATGCATTAAACCCAGATATAATTCGTCAGTAAATTAATGAAACTCAAGTTAGAGCCAGCTGAATCAGCAAGTAGTCTCTCCCTTGTCCTACATAATAAGAAAACTATTCTGTAGACTTACCTGGCTGCTGATGCGCTTCCTCCGTACACTGTGTTGCCGTCGATGGTAGCCGTCAGGAGGTTGAACTGTATGAGAGGACCTGAAGGACACAACTGCTCTTAACATTTCTTTCCTTAAACCATTATAACAAGCTTAAATGACGTAACATGCAATATATCTATATATATTTTTTATAGAATGAGCAATTTATCCGTTAACATGTTTACAACTTTCAATAAATGGTATTCAACGCACTGAATGAAATATTAATTTTCGGTATCCTTGAAAATAAAAAATAAAAAAAGGTTGGATCTCTCACCTAACTTGCAGTTCTGTTGAACACCTGGGAAGCCTCTGGCGAAGTCGATACAAGTGAACTTGAAGAGCCTGTAGAAGGGGTCGTCATGAGGAATTTCTATCTCCATGCAGTAGGGGTTCTTCAGGTGGGGAGGACGATTACAACACTCTTCAAACTCATTACGGGTTCGTCTGTCTGTTGAAGATCGGGACACAGTACCTAGGTTAGCATTTCTTTGTGTGAAAGAAATGGGTACACATGTGGAGTGTGAGTTGTTTGATGGAAAGACAAGGTAGTGTATAGTACCTGGTGAGTACAAAAAATGCGAGTGTGGGGCTTGTAGTGTGTACCGGTATATACGATGAATAAACCATGGTTCTGGGACCTACCTAGGGGAGTGGCAGTGAGAGTGAAGTCATGGTCCATGAGCTGACCCCAGGCAATGAGCATAAGGGTAGCGGCGTGGTCGTGGAAGCCATCATCACGATGAATCAGGGAAGAGACGTGGCGAGAATTGGGCAGTGGTGAGCCGTCCAGGGCCAGACGAGGGGAGCTGATGCCATCACCGTAGTCAGGAGGGAGGAACCTGGTGGAAAGTACTCATGCTAGAGCACAACTAAAGAACCATTCTAGTCATCATGCAATGGAGGCCAGTAGTCACTGCCGCTATGGAGACAATGACTACCCCACCTTGCATATGCTTTTATTGTTCTTATATCCAAGACTCTTGTCACGCGATTTTTTTCCTAACGAATTGATCAAAAAACATAAGATGGAAACTGGCCCTACGACTGCAATATTCCAGTGATAATTTAGGACTGCTCTCTTTCCCTTTCTATAGAGGAAGAGGGAAAAAGACAGGGGTAGGGTAAGATAAGTAAGATAGTGTAAGAACTATCCAGAGAGCCTTCACAATAAACTTCAAGACTGCCTAGTAGAGAAGGTAATGCCTAGATCTACAAGTCTGCAGCTCCATCACTGGAAGTCATCGTACACTGAGATTATTGCTACTACTAATAATAATTCTATCCTACTACTGTTCTACATTACTGCTACTACTATTACCACTGCCTTCACGAATACCTCGCCTAATTTCATTTAAATACTTGAAGCTAGCTTGATAAAACCCCTGGTGAGCGAAACGTAGCCGCGGTAAATGTCTTAATAGTTGTACATATCTTTATATAACCTAGCATAATGAATATTCGACGAGGAGACTTACCTGGAGAAGACAGCTTTGGCGGCACCCCAGCTAGGGCTGTAAAGGTTGTTACAGAGGCCGTCAAATCTGCGATACTTGCCCGGGGTGCAGGTCATGGGCGAGGTGAAACGAGGACAAACGTTAGCTATTGCCGTCTTTCGTGTGTCCAGCAGCGGCAAGTTGTGGATTACCTCTGAATGTGTCAACCCGTACCTGGTGAAGGTTTAAAGTTATTTAACATTCTGTTCTTTCTGCACGGTTAATATAGCATTTTTTGCCTTACATACGTGGACAGGGTAAACTCATATTTACATAGGAAAAGCATCATAAAATTAGGGAGTAGGGTAATAGATTAAGAAGTAGGAACCATTCAGATGAGAGAGTAGGGCTCCATCAGATTAGGAAGCAGGAGAGAGCAGAAATGAAGGTGACTAAAGAGACTTGGGACCGGGTCTTGGGTTAGATGGGATTGGACCTGTTATCTAAATACCATGAAACGATTAATTAGTCGGCTGAGCCAAGTGGCAAGAGTGAGCACACATAATCAGTCGTGAACGTCACCTCCTGATGTTTGATAAGCAGGTTTCCTATAGAACCAAATAGAATTGGGTTTCAGAGATATCTATAATAAATGAGCAAATTAATGCGTGTACAAGCTGTTGTTGGGGGAGGGAGGCGCATAGGTAACGAATTTTTACCTAAAACTCACAGGTAAGGGGGGGAACAAAAGCGGAGCGAGATGCAGCAAGTCCATGACAAATGTCCAGAATCATTGATGTGACACCGTGTGCTGTAAGGCGTGTATTTGTGCCGTGCTGCAAGACTCGTCTGGTTTTGTAATGTGTCTAATACTATTCTCCAGCAATAAAAATTGATGCCTTTACTCTTTCACTATGCTCTCTTTCTTCGTAATAAGACATAAAACATTCGCTATTTCCTAAGTTGCCTTTTTTTTTTTGTAGATAAACGGTGTGAAATTATGGTGATTACACAAGGTATTATATCAAACTCTGCAATGTCACCTCTGTCGTCTGCTTTTATATCATGAAACACGGTGACCTATGGTACCACACTGGGAGAAAGATGATAATAGGTAATAATAATAATAATAATAATAATGTTGCAGTTCAGACGGTCATTTTAAAAAAATAGTAACACACAGTAGTAATAGTGTAATAATAAGTAGGACTAAAAACATCACTTTTCTGAGCGAGTGGCATCAACATTCAGCACAGAAACACAGATTAAGATACAACAGATTTATTTTGGTTCCATTTTAGAAATCTTTATCCTCTTTATAGTCATTTCAGGTATAGCGACCCTTCACTCTACACTGTAGAGTGAAGGGTCGCTATACAGTACTGACAAGTCGATGAACAAGACATGTTCGATACCTGGGATTCTTTATTGACAAACAGTCCCTCAGTCCCCTGATCACTTCAGAGTTTCTTCTACCGGTTCAGCATATATTTGACTAATGAAGCCTGCTGCGCAGGCATAAAGCTTCGGCAAGAAAGACAGCCAGGTGTTGCATATGTATTTTATTCATCCTACAGTGATGTCAGAGGATTAACAACAGGCGATGTCCTTCTAGGAAAGCCCATCATCAGCGTGTTTATATATAAATACCACGAGCCGTTACCGTAAGTATGATCAAGGACGTTTTCAGGGGAAAACTGAAGAACCAACACGATGCTTGGTATCATCCTGGGATACACAGGAGTTGTGAAAAATTTCCTAGTTAAAAATCCTCTCCATAGGACTGCCATGGTAGTACAAGCTCCCACAGTGTTAATTTTAAGTGTGACCTTTATTCAGGAAAATTCTTGTGTAACAATATAACAATTACTTTCGTTAGTCTGTCTGTGTCTGTCTGTCTTAAACACACATGGCGGAGTACGCCTAGCTCGTGAGCATAAGAATGACACGCAGAAATCTAAACAAGAAAGCATTCACATCACAGCATTAAAAATAGTCTGTCAAGGGTGCCCTGCGCGACGCCTGCCTGGAACACAGCTAATATTGCAGAAAATTGAGTTAATCCAGATGATCACCAGGTTGATATCAGAACCGAGGATTATTACATCAGGAGGGGTGATACAGCTTCTAGGTAATAGTAGGTAATCACGTTTGATCCGAGAAAGAGGATGATATCTCTAATTCCTTGGATCAAGAGCCCTTCACTACCGTTAAGGTCTCCCACTGAAAGATTGTGAGAAACAAGAATTATGAAGATTGCACCAACTCCAGATGGAAGAAGAGTAAAGGTAAAGAGAAGACATTATTGGAACATAGAAAGTACCCAGAAGATATGGACGAAATTGCGAGTGGGTGTGAGTTAGACCTGCCTAGCATGGGCCTGTAGGCCTGCTGCTGTGTTCCATTATGTTCTTATCAAGTCAGCCAACGTAAAGGTAGGGGCGATCCCAAGAGTTGAATCAAAGAGAGAGAGAGAGAGAGAGAGAGAGAGAGAGAGAAAGAGAGAGAGAGAGAGAAAGGAGCTGATGTGCGAGCCAACAGCGATGCTCAGGTCACTAAGCTCATGGCAACTACCGGACACCTGGAAAAAACTGGTGGCACTCTGTAAACAAGAAAAGAGACTGCATCAAGCAGTATGTGGTAGCCAGGCCATGTCAGAATAAAGGAAACATTATCATTGACTGTTGGGGTACCTAAAGGTGTCTGAGACACTGGGAAACTGTTGGCGTACCTGCAGTTTCAGGTACTGGGAGACTGCTGGAGTACCCGAAGTGAAGGAATTAGATTTCGAACAATCAACATGAACTGAGGAACTGTAAATTTAACCTTGTAAACCTGCAGGAGATAAATGACTCACGAAAAGTGTGAGTAAAGTGTAGGCGAGACAGAAAGACAGACAGACAAAGACAAACACACACACACACACACACACACACACACACACACACACACACACACACACACACACACACACACACACACACACACACACACACACACACAAAGTCTCTAACGACAAGTGCCTCTGACAAATGGTAACTAGCGCACACACACAGTGACTAAGCAGTCACGACAATAGCCACACCTGAGGCAAGAGGCAGCACGTGATTGGCAGAAGGTCGTTCGCACACCTAGCCCGCATCCCATAACCTTATCCAGCCGGCATCCCAGCACCTTATCCAGCACCCACAATATGTCAATGAAGTTCACGAGTTTGAGTGAATATTCCAGGGGGTCACCGCCCCTTGGTCTGGACCAGGCTGATCAGGAACTAACTTGACGAAGTTACGAAATTTTCTCTTGAAGACAACCAGGGCTCTCTGAGTTATTTACTTTACGCATGAAGGTGTTAAGTCTTGGTTCCTCTACACCTACTGAGTTTTCTCTGTGTACTCACTGAAATCAAGCTTGTCAGTGGAAGTATTTTGTACCGTCTGTCGAGCCTCTTGGTCTCGTATTGAATAAATCTGGTGTGCAGATTTGGGACCAATCCCTTCACAATTTTCGAGTTATAAACCATGATGTGTCTTTCTGAACTACACTCCAGAGTGTGCCTAAACCCAGAATTTCAGTCCTTATTTCACTGATTAAAATATTCTTGTATTAATGTTGGTAGCCTTACAGACAATATGTTAGGTAAAATGAGACGTGCAACTAATGTGACATTTTATTGCGGCAACGTCTCGCTCTCCAGGAGCTTTGTCAAGCTGCAGAGTGAAACATTGCCTCAATAAAATGTCGTATTAGTTGTACACGTGTCTTTTTACCTAACAAAGTATACTTGACTGTTACAGTTGAAGTGCAGCTTTGATCCCCTAAGACAGCGATTTAACTGAACTCTCAGCGAATGCACACAGAGATATACACCTCTGTGTTTACACTTGTCTTACATTCTGCTACAGAAAAGGAAAATACCTTATGTTGGCCTAACCACTCCTTTTACCACCATTTTATTGTTGGCTTAATCTTATATCCACTGACTCCACAAAAGTCGTGAAAGTAACTGACTGGTGGTGATCAGGTAACACAGCCTTAATGACTAGTGTAGCAGACAGGCTTTAAACCCCTCACTAAATGGTGCACACGGTTAGTGTTTCATTAAATGCAGTTTAAACCAAATAAATCAGTGGGACGAGCGTTGACACTGACCGCTAGGAGTTGCCCCTTGAAGAAGCCACTAGCATTAAGTTTATGAAAATTTCACATAGGCAAAACTAATGTTTTTCAAGTGGGCGTGCGCAGATGCTCTGGTGTATAGGTGCGCTGTTGCGTTGCTGCGTGCAGGAATCTGATGAGAAGTGATGTGGATTTATGGCCAAGAATTATAGACAGCTGCCAGTCGAAGGTTCTCAGCTCCCGTGTCAAGGTTATTATGTTTTGATATCAGTTATTACTATGACCCTTCAAGGAGTGCTGGGTGAAAAAAAAAATTAAAACATTTTAATTTTTATCATTTGGTAGAATATTGTCTGCTGGTGTGGAGGTACGTAATGTTATGGTAGAATATTGTCTGCCGGTGTGGAGGTACGGTAATGTTATGGTAGAATATTATCTGCTGGTGTGAGAGGTACGGTAATGTTATGGTAGAATATTGTCTGCCGGTGTGGAGGTACGGTAATGTTATGGTAGAATATTGTTTGCTGGTGTTGAGGTACGGTAATGTTATGGTAGAATATTGTTTGCTGGTGTGGAGGTACGAGTAATGTTATGGTAGAATATTGTCTGCGGTGTGGAGGTACGGTAATGTTATGGTAGAATATTGTCTGCGGTGTGGAGGTACGGTAATGTTATGGTAGAATATGTCTGCCGGTGTGGAGGTACGGTAATGTTATGGTAGAATATTGTCTGCCGGTGTGGAGGTACGGTAATGTTATGGTAGAATATTGTCTGCTGGTGTGGAGGTACGGTAATGTTATGGTAGAATATTGTCTATGTGTGGAGGTACGGTAATGTTATGGTAGAATATTGGTCTGCTGGTGTGGAGGTACGGTAATGTTATGGTAGAATATTGTCTGTGGTGTGGAGGTACGGTAATGTTATGGTAGAATATTGTCTGCTGGTGTGGAGGTACGGTAATGTTATGGTAGAATATTGTCTGCTGGTGTGGAGGTACGGTAATGTTATGGTAGAATATTGTCTGCTGGTGTGGAGGTACGGTAATGTTATGGTAGAATACTGTCTGCCGGTGTGGAGGTACAGTAATGTTATGGTAGAATATTGTCTGCCGGTGTGGAGGTACGGTAATGTTATGGTAGAATATTGTCTGCTGGTGTGGAGGTACGGTAATGTTATGGTAGAATATTGTCTATCGATGTGGAGGTACGGTAATGTTATGGTAGAATATTGTCTGCTGGTGTGGAGGTACGGTAATGTTATGGTAGAATATTGTCTATCGGTGTGGAGGTACAGTAATGTTATAGCAGACAGACCAGCAGTGAAAGGTGACAACCGAGCACATCTCACAGCCTGACTGTCATCTCAGCTGGAATCTGGTGAACTCTTGCCAGTCACACCGTAGGTACCACTGTCACTAACGTGGATCTGAGTGACTCTTCACACCGAGCCTGCTAGTTTAATAGCAGTCATTAGTGATAATGACTACACATTTACGAGGAATTCACTTGGGTCGTGCCTGATGCACCAACTGATTCTGAACAGATCAAATTCTTTAATAGACATAATAATTGTATTACTTTTCATGTGACATGACGAAAATTATCACTGGTGTTTCACCACCTTATTGTAAGACTATTGTGATATACTGTACTTTTAATTCATAAATGATTAAATATCTATACTTTTGTTTTATATTAAAGTTGGGTGATTCCATAACGAACGATTTTACAATATGCTGGAAGCCAGGTCTGATTGGGTGCATCTCTTACCCAGTGATAAAAATTAAAAGAAAAATATACTGAAAATTGTCGAACAAGTTAATAAACGAGAAAAGTGTTTTTTTTAAATATTAGAAATTGTTTTAATAAAGAAAATTGGGAACACCAGCAGTGTGTTGCTATTCTACACAATGGTGGGTACACCAGACAGTAGTTGTTCCTTGTCTTATCCCATCCCAGCAATGAGTTTTTCACATCAATTTATAAAATGCCCACAGAGAAAGGGGTTGATAGTTGGGGGATTTGAAGTACAAGTTCTCGCAGAAGACAGCCTGTGCAATAAGACACTCTCCCACATCACTGTGTTTGCAGATACAACACCAGGAATCTACAATATGTTTCGCGTTGGCTCTTTTATTTCTTCATTTATTAAATATAAGTATAGATTAATATAAGTTAATCGAGAATATTAATAATTATTAGGGATTATATTCATATATTCACGGAAAATAGAATAATAACCAGTCTCCTAGTCTATCAGACTGGTTATTATTACATCAAGGCTGAGGGACTGACCACCTCAAACTTCCTCCCCGCTACGTTTTCTGTTTCCAAAATTGTAATTCATCTCTTTATTCGACTGAAGAAGTTTGCAGGGAAGTGTTTCATCAACAACGATACGTAGCGTTCCACAAGTATCATTCCCATCAAGTTATCCTTGTGGTACTGCACTCATAATACGTCAGTATATTAACGCCACAAGTTTTTCTTAATTTTAATTTAGGTTTGTTTGTTTTATGGTTTACCTAACCATAATTAATGTACAGTTAACCACAAATTAGCAAACGGAAAATGCGGCGGCAATTAGGTTGACGTCGAAGTGACCGTAAAGAAACCATACATCGAGGTGACCGCAAAGATGACATCAGGGTGGCCGCTAAGAAAATATTGATACGTGAACGTTCCATCACTCGCGGCGCGAGAGCCAGCTGTTGTACAGTAGGTCAAAGAAGAACTTACTGAGCGGCGATGATTCTTGAAGCCTCCAGTAACAGTTCGCCAACTCGAGCTAGCTCCTCAGGCATCCACTCCTCTCTCTCTGGTGGAGTGACGGCTGCAAGGCAAAAGTGCTGGGTGAATGTTCAGGAAACACAATCAGAAAAGAATGTCATCTGAAGAAAATGTGACTGTCACAAGGCAAGAAAATGAAAATGCAAGAATCAAAAGCAATATATACGAGCCAGTCAGGCAGATGTGCTGACATAATTTTCATGTCATATGAGTATGCATAAATGGCATAAAAATGTAGATGTGTACAAACAGGGAAATGTAGATACAACTCCCCCTGAAATAAATTGTGTGTGTATATATATATATATATATATATATATATATATATATTATATATATATATATATATATAATAATAATTATATATTTCGAGGGCAGGTGTTAGTTCTAACATTGTGTCAGAGCTCACTCACTAACCTTGTGTCAGAGCTCACTAACCTTGTGTCAGAGCTCACTAACCTTGTGTCAGAGCTCACTAACCTTGTGTCAGAGCTCACTAACCTTGTGTCAGAGCTCACTAACCTTGTGTCAGAGCTCACTAACATTGTGTCAGAGCTCACTAACATTGTGTCAGAGCTCACTAACATTGTGTCAGAGCTCACTAACCTTGTATCAGAGCTCACTAACCTTGTATCAGAGCTCACTAACCTTGTGTCAGAGCTCCTAACTGTTCAACTCACTAACATTGTGTTCAGAGTCATAACTGTCAAACTCACTAACATTGTGTCAGAGCTCACTAACCTTGTGTCAGAGCTCACTAACCTTGTGTCAGAGCTCACTAACCTTGTGTCAGAGCTCACTAACCTTGTGTCAGAGCTCACTCACTAACATTGTGTCAGAGCTCACTAACCTTGTGTCAGAGCTCACTAACCTTGTGTCAGAGCTCACTCACTAACATTGTGTCAGAGCTCACTAACTTTCAGAGCTCACTACTTGTGTCAGAGCTCACTCACTAACATTGTGTCAGAGCTCACTAACATTGTGTCAGAGCTCACTAACATTGTGTCAGAGCTCACTCACTAACATTGTGTCAGAGCTCACTCACTAACATTGTGTCAGAGCTCACTCACTAACATTGTGTCAGAGCTCACTCACTAACATTTGGTCCAGAGCTCAACTCACTAACATGTGTCAGAGTACAAATCAATTAAGTTTCAGACGTCAACCTACTAACTGGTCAGAGCTTTCACAAATAAACATGATTCAAGAAAAAAACATGGAGAGTATAATAATCATAGGACAGAGTCACATAAACAGTATCCTCACTAAGACCCATGCAACTTCAAGAACATTACACAGGAAAATAAACTGAAATTCCATTACATAAAGTAACCAATACAAGAGTGGAATCAGAGTTTGTAACAGATAATATGTAGGTCATAGGAAAGAAACATGAGGCCATACAGTGATGAGCATACGACTAAACACCCACACTTAACTCACCAGAACATACAAGACTAAATATAGAATCACTGAAATTACCTTCATAAATGGTCTGCAAAAACAAATGAAATATTCATAGCTTACATAATAATAATTCATGTGGATCATTCAGAAAAACGTTAGATGGAAGTTTGACTCTCTCGTCTGCTGAGGCAGAATTACCGACCTAGATGAACCTCCTCCTTCCCTCCCCAATCTTCAAGACACTCATATCAGATATCGACAAATGTATGTACTGTGAGTCTGGCTGAGGAACAATTATGAAGGTAGCATAATAATTCCACAGCCAGACTCACAGTACATTGGAACCGTCAGTTACACGTCTGTGCTATGCAGACACTCCACTGACTGGTACCTAGTACTGTACTTCAAATGATATGGTAGAAATATTAGGGATACAAGAAGAGAAGAAAAACTGTTACTTTCCTTGTACACAGTCCATTCAGGAATGGCAAAGAGATTCGTTAAGCAGATTAAGGAGACTGCTATCTCTTAAATTTAAAGTGGAAGTACTAAAGGAAAAAAAAACAGACAACCTAAAGACTACCACTTAGCATGAAATAGAAGTTTGTAGTCATGGTAATTCAAAAGACCCTCTGAGCCGCATTATCCAAAATAATCTTCCGAGTGCAGGTACTGTTCTTGCCATTTCCAGAATACAAGTTTAGCCAATCACAGAACACTGACAAAACTCACTGAAGTACAACAGTCATAGATATTAGCCTCTCACGCTAAAAAAAAAAAAAATAACGCGAGAGGATGTTTGGTAAATTTACCTTCAGCAATCGGGAAAATGACGAGGATAAAAACAAGGAACTGTCAAGGTTTTCCAGGGAATCCACAATGATCAATAAAAATATAGACATGCATAAAATCTAAAGGAATCAAACACAGAATTCAGAAGAGCATTAAAAGGGATGAAAACAGATGTCGAAGGACTAAAAGAAAAAAAGGCAAATGCCACAATAAAGCAAGATAAATTAACAAATCAGAGACACTAAAATAGCCCTATGAATTAGAAGAAACAAAGGAAACAGGTTCCTGTAGTGGTGGATGTTCATCAACAGTTTTTTTTTTTTTTGAAAGCGTGTACTCTCACCTGTGATGCCCAGCCTCTGCTTGGCTCCACCTTTCACTTAGGAATGATCACATTTCTGTCCCTCATAAAACCTATAATACTTACTCGCAAAACTCTGTGGAATATCTGCTTCAAACATTTACCCATTCACATCATTCTATCCTTGGTCTATAGAAGTACTTCCTGACATCTCTGTAACATCTATTTATATCCCCTTGTTCCTGGTCTCCTCAGTTTAAGCTATCTCTCTCTTATAGAATCCTCGAGTATTTTATACCTGGTAATCACACTCCTTGTTTTTTCCAGTGTTGTTAAATTCTGTTCTTTCAGTCTTCACTTAAGTCCTTGCAGAGAACCTCTGAACTTAGTTTTTAGACATATTTGTTGAAGTGAGGTCTCCTTGCTGGTGCCCTCACTATGATGGGTTTTACGTCATATATTGGGCCCCATAGGACCTTTCTTTGAGGTGCCTGAATGCCGTTACAAGTTTGCCAAACGTGTATACAGTACGTTCTCGTGATTATCTGGCGGTTATCTAGTCTGGTCATGGACCGGGCGGCGGGGGCGTTGATCCCCGGAATGCCCTCCAGGTAGACCCCTTCCCTAAGCTTTTTTTTTCCTGTTTGAAGTGTGTAGTCTTTGTCTCAGTCTGTATTCCGAATCAAGCTTTCTTTCCTCTTCCGAATTTTCTAATCTTGAAACTTCTGGAGATGAAGTACAATAGTCATGTGTGACCAAATATTTCAGCAACTGTGCGGGTTCTCTAGCAGACTTTCCCAGTCTTCTCCAGTATAAATACACCAAATAGCCATATATCTGAAAATAAGGATATATTAAACTTATCCTGCAAGAAATGTTATTTCCGCATATCCGGAACCCCCGGTACGGATCCTTGTGGAACACCGCTCGTCACGCTCGTTCATCCCGATACTTCTTGCCGGAACATCTCAGTCTCCTCCTGCTTAAATAGTCCTTGATCCAGCGAAGTTTATTTCCCATTATTCCTGTCTGTTCTTCCAGTTTACGAATTAGTCATGTGGGGAACTACATCAAATGTGCCTCTTTACTGGTTATAATGTGTTAACTTGTAGAACTTCAGAAGGCTTGCGAGACACGATTTTTACTAACTCAAACCTTCACTAGTTATTATTTAGGGCTTTAAGCGTCTCCAGGTGCTTCACTACTCTCATTATCTTTTCTGTTCCCTTAATATATATATATATATCAATGATGCCTGTGTGTAGTTAATTACTTCCAGTCTATCCCTTTGCTAAAGCAATGGGGAGACATTTGTTTTTTCCAGCTTTCTGGAAAATATTTATTCTCGGTTTTCTTTTGTGTTTATATTAACAGTTTACACAATGTCTTCGCTCCCTCTCTTACGACCCTCTATTGATCTTGTGTCCAATTTGCTTAACATCGTTACTCCATCCTGTTATGTTAATGTTATCCAGTCTTAGCTGACCAATGACGAGGCTTTAATTACTTGATAAAGATAAGTGATGAATCGTAAAATAAAAAGTACTCTTCCACCTGCTTAAATTGTTCTGAATTACCATGTGTTAGCCTGTGTTGTCTCCTGCACTGCGGCACTGCTTACCAGTTTCTAAGTGCGTCTCTGAAATACAGTACTGGTTACTGCCTCTCACATGTTACTTTGAGTTTTTGTTACTTTTTTTTTTAACTATCACTTGGTTGTTTACTATGTTTGATCCGCTTGAGGTGGCTATTTAACAGTTTCAGTTCTGTGATCGTTTGTGCTGATAAGAAGCACAATGCCTCTCATCTCACTTTTTTTTTTTGTTTTACACAGGGTTTGACAAGGTTAAGGATCCCTAGCTTTATTGACGAGCTATTTACAACTTGTGCTGTGTATTAGTTTCTACTTCTTGTCTTACCATCATCTTTCGTTCTCTCATTTCTTTATCTCTTCCATGATGTGATGCTTCTCTGTCTTTGCTTCTGTATCTTTGCTTCTCCAGGGGTTTAATCTCTATCTTTGCTTCTTTATATTTGTTTATCCATGGGTTTAATCGCTTTTCCACTCACAGACGTAATGTTCTATTCTGCATCCTGGCAATCCATTTCTTCGGTTATATTTTCTTCTGTTCTGTAATTGTAATTATTTTCCCTCATCTTCTAATTTCATTCAAAGTGCGATCACTCACTTGCAGTGGAGACTCGTCTCTCCTCTATGTGATGTCTCAAATGTAAAACAAAATTTCAGTTTTGCATGTTCAGACAGAGCTAGCTAGCTACCTACCTACCCCCCCCTTCTCTCTCTCCCTCTCTCCCTCTCTCCCTCTCTCCCTCTCTCCCTCTCTCCCTCTCTCCCTCTCTCCCTCTCTCCCTCTCTCCCTCTCTCCTCCCTCCCTCTCTCCCTCCCTCCCTCTCTCCCTCCCTCCCTCTTCCCTCCCCTCCCCCCCTCCTCCTCCCTCCTCTCCCTTCCCCTCTCCTCCCTCCCTCCCTCTCTCCCTTCCCTCCCTCTCTCCCCTCCTCTCTCTCCTCCCCCTCTCTTCTCTCCCTCTCTCCCTCTCTCTCTCCCTCTCTCTCTCCCTCTCTCTCTCCCTCTCTCTCTCCCTCTCTCCCTCCCTCTCTCCCTCTCTCACTCCTCTCTCTCTCTCTCTCTCTCTCGTGTCTCTGACATGCTGGAACATGAAGTCCAGCATGATGTCGTCCATGTGACAATTTCCACACGTGGTTTTCGTTACTTTCAGTCCATTTCATTGCGGTTAAAATTTCCCGTTATGAACCACTTTGATTTTCCCATTGTGAGCTCTCTCCGCAGCTTCCTGTATGGTGTCTACCATGACCCTGTCTCTTTCTCCTCTGAGGGAATTGTGATTACTACCTTGAGTTCCCTAGACGTAATGAGAAAATAGTATAGACTGACTTTACTTTCATCTTTTCCTCTAATATCCACTAAAATCCATTAGCAGTGTTTCTTCAGCTTTCTTCCTCAGTAATTAGTATTCAATGGAGCGTACTGCATGAGATAGTCTTCATTAATATCGTCTCGGTGATAACTATGCGTGTTTCTGCCTCTATTCTAATTTCACCAGTTTTGTTTGTAATTCTATCTAAACTAAGGTACCAATTGTTTTATGTTTTGGCTCCTTGTGTTCTGGTGTGCTACCACTTGCCCTGGTATAGTGAGTGAGGGTGTTAAGATGGGTTTCATGGGTTTGGAGTGTGTGTGTGTGTGTGTGTGTTGTTTAGAGTGGCCGTATCAAAACTGCTAAGGAGCTAGAGTCTGAAGATTCGCCAATATCATCACATACCATAAAAACATACCGAGGGGAACGATATATAAAGCAGCTCAACATAGGTTTGTACACTTCCAATAACTTCTGATACGCTAATGGGAAGACGACACAAGTTTATACACTTAAAATATTCACATACACAAGTCTCGTAGTACAGTGCTAAAATTACAATATTTACTTATTCTTGTAGAGGCGGCGTAGAGGGCGGCATCTACATCAGCGTAAGTTACACATACACTTCCTGCCAAACTAGAAATGGCCAAAAATTAGTATCTCATGCGTTATTCTGTAGGAATTAGCAAAATACCAGATATAATAGAATTGTACTGAAAAGCGAGAGGTTTAAAACGACATACATTCTATAACCTTAAGTTTTAGATCAATGTATTTTCAAATAAAAAACATATTACTAACACATTTTTCCTTTCATTATTTATCATAAATTGGCTTTTGATTTGTGTCATTAACTAGCGGTATGGTATGAACCTTGGTAACTGATACCGACCAATTTATTTAAAAGGACACCTAAGCAAACACCAAAACATATTTATTAGAAAACGTTTCGGTCTTGAGACCTTAATCATTAACATGCAAAGGTCGAAAATAACAGTATAGGTAGGCAGGAATCACCTGACCTTATCTATCTGACCTCATTTCGAAAAAGTTTCACTTGCATTTTTTAGATCACTATGATATGACTCCCTTATATATATATATAATATATATATATATATATATATATATTATATATATATATATATATATATATATATTTTATATATATATAAACAAGTTGTTCGTCTCCCCACCGAGGCAGGGTGACCCAAAAAGAAAAAATCACCAAAAAGAAAATACTTTCATCATTCAACACTTTCACCACACTCACACATAATCACTGTTTTTGCAGAGGTGCTCAGAATACAACAGTTTAGAAGCATATACGTATAAAGATACACAACATATCCCTCCAAACTGCCAATATCCCAAACCCCTCCTTTAAAGTGCAGGCATTGTACTTCCCATTTCCAGGACTCAAGTCCGACTATATAAAAATAACGGTTTCCCTGAATCCCTTCACTAAATATTACCCTGCTCACACTCCAACAGATCGTCAGGTCCCAAATACCATTCGTAAAGCTCCCGCTTCACACACGGAGGGCCCGGGTTCGATTCCCGCCGGGTGGAAACATTCGACACGTTTCCTTACACCTGTTGTCCTGTTCACCTAGCAGCAAATAGGTACCTGGGTGTTAGTCGACTGGTGTGGGTCGCATCCTGGGGGACAAGATTAAGGACCCCAATGGAAATAAGTTAGACAGTCCTCGATGACGCACTGACTTTCTTGGGTTATCCTGGGTGACTAACCCTCCGGGGTTAAAAATCCGAACGAAATCTTATCTTATCTTATCTTATCACGCACGCTTGCTGGAAGTCCAAGCCCCTCGCCCACAAAACCTCCTTTACCCCCTCCCTCCAACCTTTTCGAGGACGACCCCTACCCCGCCTTTCTTTTCCTACAGATTTATACGCTCTCCATGTCATTCTACTTTGATCCATTCTCTCTAAATGACCAAACCACCTCAACAACCCCTCTTCAGCCCTCTGACTAATACTTTTATACACTCCACACCTTCTAATTTCCACACTTCGAATTTTCTGCATAATATTTACACCACACATTGCCCTTAGACAGGACATCTTCACTACCCCCAAACCGCCTCCTCGCTGCTGCATTTACAACCCAAGCTTCACACTTCATGTAAGTGTTGGGTTTACTACTATACTTTCATACTTTCCCCTTTCTTTGCCCCCATAGATAACGTTTTTTGTCTCCACATATACCTCAATGCACCACTCACCTTTTTTTCTTCATCAATTCTATGATTAACCTCATCCTTCATAAATCCATCCGCCGACACGTCAACTCCCAAGTATCTGAAAACATTCACTTCTTCCATACTCCTCCTCTCCAATTTGATATCCAATTTTTCTTTATCTAAATCATTTGATACTCTCATCACCTTACTCTTTTCTATGTTCACTTTCAACTTTCTACGTCCACAGCAGGACTCGAACTTGCAAACTCTGTACCAAGTACACAGTACTTTACCACGGAGCCAGAACCCAGATGAAATAACTTTCAAAACAAGCCTGGTGTCCCGGGGTATGGGAAAATATCGTCTAGCTCCTGCTAGGCGCCCATACTTATCTGAGGTCTGGCTCCGTGGTAAAGTACTGTAGACTGATACAGAGTTTGCAGGTTCGAGTCCTGCCGTGGCTGTAGAACAATTATATAATATATAAAATACATTATATATATATATATATATAAATTTTATATTTTATATTTTAAAAATATATATATAATATATATAATATAATATTTCAATAAATCACAGTAAAAGGTGATTTCAAAATATCAAAAAACACCTGAAAGAATATAGAAATTTTCCCAAACGCTTTCGTGACTACTCACAAATTTTCAAGAAATATATGTAAATTCTTGATAATAATATTTTCTTGAAAAATTTGAGAGTCACGAAAGCGCTTGGAAATTTTCCCAATCTTTCAGATGGGTTGTTTTGCATATAAATATATTATATAAATATAATTATATATTTATATTATATATAAAATAATATATAAATAAATTTGTGCCAATAGGGAGAACTTGCGATCTTGGGTTTAAAAACAAAGCTCATTTGCAAAGGACAATGAAAATTTGTGTATGCAATAATATCGCCAAAATCATTTGAACTAACGAAAAAAATAAAGTTTGAAATTTTTGTTTATTACTAAATTATTTAAACGTATTTAAAATATTTTAAAATTGAGTTAGTTTAAAAATAAATTGCTATCGTTATAATAAGGTTAGGTAAGTTTTCTAAGATTCATTTGGTGCAAAATTAAAAAAATTTTACATTAACATTAATGAAAAAAAAATATATCTTTAAACGTATAAGAGAAAATTTCAGAAAGGGCTTAATTTTAAATGAGTTCTTGCTAATTGATCAGTTTTACATATTCGGCACACACACACACACACACACATATACATATATATATATATATATATATAATATATATATATATATATATATATATATATATATATATATACACATACATACATATATATTGTATATCGGAAGAGATCAAGATCCTACGACCGCAACGAGGATACCCGGAAATCTTGTATTACTGTTATTGCTGTTCTTACTGTTGAACAGCGGTTTAGTGCCGATGAAGGTAGCGTAGGTAGCAATGATACGGCCGGGGACTAGTTTGGCTTTAATCGGGTAGGAGTGAGTACACAAAGGGCAGTGTGAGGGAGTGACCGCAAGCCAGTCCGTGGAGGGGGAGTAGTTGTGTACGTCAAGTCGGTCGGTCCAGGAGTGAGAGAGGGTGGTCTGTGCTTCCCACCGACCTAGGTAGGCCTACAGAGGGCAGCACTGAATGCCGCGAAATATGAACTAGTCAGAGCAGACGGCTAGGCTGTGTGCTCTGACAGTACAGGCTGTCTACATTTCTCTGCCTGATCAGTCTTGTGTTAGCAGGGTGTGTGTACAACTTGGGTTGCTTTCTGAGTTACTGGGGCCCTTTGGTTGTATATGCCCCTCTGTTTTTTGGTCCTTCATGCTACACTCTGCCCCTTGGTTGTATATACCCCTTTGATTACCGGTCTTTAATGCTACACTGCCCCTTCTCGCTACATTCTGCCCCTTTGGTTGTGTATACCCCTTTGACCCCCGTCCTTCCTGCGTTACTGTGTCTAGTGTAGCTAATTGCTCAGAAAGACTAAGACTAGTAACGAGCACTCACGTTGGCACGTTCAGCACGTTGTTAAAAAGGTGGTGTTGGAGAGTGGTCCGGGGCTTCCCTCCCCGTACTATTTGCAGGGCGCACGGGTTCCTCTCGTGCCCGTCTCCCCATGCCCACACACACGCCATCACGCACGCCAGCAGCAGGGTATTGTGTGTTAAAACCATCACTCTGGAAGGAAAAAAAAACATGAAAATTATATAATTTTTCTTCTGGTCGTTTTTATACACACCAGTTTAATGGCTTCACATTTTATTTTTGAGTTGAAATGTCATTTATTTAAATATCGTCACGAAATTTCTAATGTTAAGATAATTATCATGGAAAATACTAAAACCGTAAATGTGTTAAGGTGATGCTTGTTGGTCAGAATTGTTATGACGCCACTAGGAGTCTTTCAGGTTTAGCGTTTACAACCAATAGGTTAAAGTTAGCGACTAAAATCATTGCTGTTTTAATATAAACTGCTGGAACACTGGATGAATTTAAAATAAAAATATAAGTAGATAAAATTAACAACATACTGTCGAGGCTTGGACAGTGTTACGCTTTTGACTGCGTAACGTAAATATAAGTCGTGATTCCTAAAGGGTAAACGACCCGCCTAGTCTAGAGGCAGTTATATTAATTAAAATAGAAAAAGAAACCACTCGACAACCAGCATGTACCTTCATACAAATTATGAAGCATAAATTTAAATGGTCAATGTATCATGAGGAAGGACACAAACTCACCTTTACCAAGATATAATATATAAATTACCATGGAAAATGCTGAAACTAAATGTGTTAGGGTGATGCTTGTTGGCCAGAATTGTTGTTATGATGCCATTACAGTCTACTCTGCTACAATCAACATCACCATACTCCAGTTCATCTTTACCCAGTACTCACATTCTCACTAGCACACTGCTACTAGTGAGTAAAACAAAATATATAAATATTTATAAACAGGGAGGCTCCATGACACCCGCTTTCCCTCTTTCTGCCAGTTTGTCTACCAGCAGGCAAAAAAACCACCATAATAGTTTTTCCAAAACTTAAACAAGCCTCTGCACACTAGGGCCTAACAGGTAAACATGAAAGCACTTAAAACAAAATAACCTAGGGTATAAATTTACCAAAAAAACCCACCCCCACCTACTTACACCAACGCCTAACCATGACATCTCCCCGCCGCCTCTCGTCTCGTACTAATACACATTTCTTTGTGCAAATTTTGTTGATGGTCCACATTTTGGACAACTTTTGGAATTTTGTGTACATAGTGTATTCTGTACGTTTTTTATATATAAATTATAAAATTAAAGTTAGTTGGAATAGTGCATATAGAAAATGCTATGACGTTGTTTTGTATGCAATTCCCCAAATGGTTGTGCAACAATTTTCTTAAAATAACATGATTCTTAATGATTTAGGTTATAAGAGTTTTCATATCATGTATATATATATTGGGGAAAAGCTAAGTACATGAAAAGGGGGTTGTGTCACTATTATGTGGTGGCAAGGGTTCCTCATCCTGCACATTGCAGGTGTTGTGTGAGTGTTACCAGTGTGTAAGGGTTTAGTTCAATGGATCGGTATATATTGTGGTGAGATTGTAAATTGTGTAAGTTTTGACATTGGTCCATATGTTGGACAAAAACAATTTTTTTGTGTGTACAATTTGGTACTATGCAAGTTTTAAATAAAATATAAAAAAAAAAATACACACACTTCACTCTCCTCTCCTGGCCACACTGACCAGGAATAATACATACACAATTTCAAAACATATCCCGGAAAATGACATATATGGAGCGTTTTTTATAACAATATTCACTACAGTACACTGCGTAATAGACACGAAAACTTTAGTATATTACACCACCAAAATTCAGATTTAATCACCAAAAACATTAAAAAACAAAGTGAAATAACAAGTCCTTAAAGAAAATATTGCAAGATGTAAGTCGACTGTACTAATTTTTTTTTCTAAAATCACTGCTGTCTATACATACCTTGACGATTATAAAACTCGGGCCTAATATGCTACGTTATTAAAATATGGTTGGTCTGATTTAAGTGTCACGAAATAGTCTCAGTATCAGTTAGTTTGTATAAAGGATGGTACCTCCACTTCCCCATTACATAGCCACGTACATGGCCCAGAAAGTCACCGAGGCACAAAATTACTGAAGAGTGAACTTAATATAACGTTTGCCTCCGCGTCTGTCTTGTTTTCCCTACGCCATTGGATTTACAGGATAAGAGGTATTTACTCTACCTCATCTTATTTCAATTTAACAGTTGGCTAGCACTTTGATACCTATTTACTGCTAGATGAACAGGAAGGGGCAGCTGGTGTAAACAGACTTGTCCATAGTCTTCCCTGTCCCGGGACTGAGTTCAAGTCCGGTTGTGAGCCAAAGGTCAGTACACAGCACGCATTGAATACAAGAGTGAGAGACTGACTGCTGGCAGGAGTTTTTGTTGACTCATCTATCCTTTCTTCATTAACAAGCAGTACTGAAATCCTTGTGGGTACGCAACATTGTTTTAACTTAATATTACCACTTGGGTTGTGGCCGCCAGAACATGATGAGGCGTTAACTACTAACAATGGCTCATGGCTCGTTCGGCTCGCTCAACCACTCATCCTGGCTCTCTGTGGATTGTCACTCTCACGCTGATACAACAAAAAATTGGAGATTCATAACAGGAAGACAAGGTGTTGTAAGCAGCTGTCATAACTCAGGCCATCGGTGCCACAAGCGGCACTAAAGACACTAGCAGTGCCGGAGAAAAAAATAATGTTATTCTAATATTCATGGCAATAAATATCTAATATATTCAACGGAAATGTTAAATAATTATTGAGCAAGGTTATACAAATATACGCGAAGAAGTGAAAGTAAACTTTGTATTTATAAATGGGCAGATTTGAACATGCATAAAACTTCTCGTTGTTAGACTACAAGAGATAAGATTTCGTTCGGATTTTTAACCCCGGAGGGTTAGCCACCCAGGATAACCCAAGAAAGTCAGTGCGTCATCGAGGACTGTCTAACTTATTTCCATTGGGGTCCTTAATCTTGTCCCCCAGGATGCGACCCACACCAGTCGACTAACACCCAGGTACCTATTTGCTGCTAGATGAACAGGACAACAGGTGTAAGGAAACGTGTCGAAATGTTTCCACCCGCCGGGAATCGAACCCGGGCCCTCCGTGTGTGAAGCGGGAACTTTAGCCACCAGACTATGGGTATATACACCGAGATGTGTATATTTGAATATAGTGTACACATATATATAGCAAAAGGTGTACTCGTATAGCTCAGTGTGTATATAGAACAATAGACATCAATGCAATATAATGCCCTCACAATGAGCTTTATCAATAAAGTCAATAACGGATCGCATTATACTACATTTATGTTTGTTTTGTCATCGTGTCGATATTTTATACTATTTATCTCCATCAGTGTAGATATGCTGATAGTTTAACCCCTATTATAGGTAATACATTAAAGTATTCCAGACTGGTGTGGAACACTGTGCGACACTCTAGCTTCATATCAATGACCTCCGACAAGGGAGCTGATTGTATCTGTGTCTGCAACCTTAATGACCCTTTGTGTAGTTGATAAGCTTCAGATTCACTTAACCAATTAACTAGTGAGGAATTCAGGGTTTATACACTGACAGGGATATATCTTATTCTCTGCTTTAAGAACTAAAGTATTTATGACTGGTGGTGGACAGTTGTCATCCAGCCGGCACTTGATTTTTAAGCTATATGTCTAATAAACCAACCAGGGAAAATATTAATGTTAGTTTTCCTGAGGAATATAATGAGGAAATAAGATTTACTGTTTATTTAATAAATTATTATTTTTATTAGTGTTTTAGATGAGAGGCGAAAAGATTTACTGTTTATTTTATATTTGAAAAAAATAAATATTGTTTATTTTTGTATTTTTGTGTTTTAGAGACGGGGAAGTAAAGGAAAAAATTGGCGTCCTTGTTCACTCCCTCCAGAATATTACAAAGTTATTTTCCTGCTTGAGAAAAGTAATTCACACGATTATGTATCTGAAAGATAACTGAACTGCTATCATGCAATCATTAATATGAAAGCAACCAGCATCAGATACTGTTATAATTATCATTACATTCATGGGGGAGAGCTAAACCCGAGGGAAAGGCCTTCAGGTTTGATCCCAAGAAGAGGAGCACGGGTCCAATTTCTTGGATCAAAAGCCCCTCACCGTGTGAGGCTTCAAGAAACCTCATGGGTACAGAAGGCAAACCGTAAATTGTACACTATTGAATGTTTGTGTTTACTCTTCTGGTTGCGGTGGTTTTGAGTCTCAGCTCCTGGCCCATGTCTCATAAATGGTCATGACTGGGGCACCCTCCTGGCCTTGTGGGTCCTATCATACCTATTGTTAAAGCTGTGTACAAAGTCTTGGCTCCACCTGTGCACCCAGCTCATACTACTTCCCTGAGGCAGAAGAAATGCTTCATGACACCCATATAGATCAACTTCGTCTATCCATTAGCTAAGACCCTATGTTCCAGTTTCTCTCCTCTCTAATAGCATTTCTATCTTTTATCCTCTGTTTTCTATCCTCAAATGACATTTCTAGTTCTTTTAATGTCTTCAGGTTATTTTCCTCAACTCCCGTATTATTCTCATAGTGAATTTCTACACTGTATTGATGGGTTGTGGTTTCCATGCTGGTGCTGTATACGCGATGGTAAAACTGATGTATGTATAATTTATCACCATTTAATTAGCTTTTCATTGATGTTTTTGAAAGCTCGTTCTCACTCACTTAACAGACAGCGTACGATCAAGAAGTGTCTTCTGTCTCTATCGCAGCTGGGCCTGGGGCCCCTCAGGGCAGCCTAGACACACTGCCTGTATAAGAACTCCAAATAAAACTACGCCTCCGAAGAGTATTATTCACCGCTAATTCATTATATATATATATATATATATATATATATATATATATATATATATATATATATATATATATTATTCGACTCCATACGAGGGACACGAGACTCGTCTTCCTTATATCCTTCAGACCACAGTACGCCTGCGAACCACAACCTTTCTCCCATTGTACCTCATGAGAGTTACCTTCCTGGTATCCCTCTACTCTTCCCTCTCCCCATAAT